TACGCTTAAAGGTGACAATAGTGCCTGGACTCCAGCATACAGCCAGCATCGAGGTGCAGGATTATTTCCAGCTACCCTGGAAACAGGTGAGGATCGCTTTTCTACAGTTGGATCATATGGGTTTTCTTCTCTTGCTCTATAAGTAATTAAATTTTAATAGAAAATAGAATAATAAAATCAAGCATTTTCCTCCCAACATTTTCTTAAAACAGCATGCATGCATGATGTATAATGCTGTTGGAAGCACATTTGCACACTTTTGCATTGAACCTACCTGGTACCAGGTACCTGTTTCCTGCACTAAATTTGGGGTACTGGGTTTTAAACCTTGGTGGGGGGTTGTTCCTCGCCCCACAGCAGGGTGTGAGGAGAGGTTCCTGCCCTGGAGCGTGGCCCAGAGACAGGATTCCCATAACCCGCTGCTGTGGACACAGCCACTGGGCAAACACAAATGCTGTGATTTAACTCCATGTTTTAGCTGAGCTGTTTTGCTTTCTGTTTTTACTTAATCTCCCAGGTATTACTGCTTATATTTTTTGAGGGGCAGATTAGAAGAAGTTAGAGAAACTTCATCCTTAGAGTCACTGAAAGCTAAAGCATTTCGAATTACACCTGTAATGTTGAGTTGTCGTTGTCTTCTCCCTTCCCCTTCTTTGATATCAGCTGAAATTTCTAAAACAGAGTCAATGGATGTGCATGCTATTTAGGAAGGATTTTACTTACCCGTCATTCATCTCTGCATGGTCCTTCTTCATGAGGCATCTTACCCCTCATGCTACTGTGCTGTTTGAAATGAACCATTCTGAAGTGTTTCCTAGATTTCATGTTTTTGTTATGCAGAAGCAAAACCAGGCATTTTATGACAAACTAAAAACCTTTTGTTGACATTATTTTGATTTGTTGACTTAAAAAAAAACTATTACTTGAAAGGTACTTTTTCCCCCCCTCTTTAGTTCCTGTTTCGGGTTCTCACATGGCTGCCTCTGCTTGTCAGGATTCTCTGAGCAGTTTCCTACCAGCTGAAAAACAGAGGGATACAAGGAAAATTGACCTCCGCTTAAAGTCAAAGGCTTTGCAAACAGCCTCGAAAGAGCGACCACACTCTTTAGTGGACCTTAAGGCCTATAAAGACACAAAAATTTTAGTGGCCAAGTTTTTGGAACATTCGGACTGTAATCTGCCTCCAGAAGTGCGTCACGTCGTGAACAGCATCCGCTCTGTGATCAAGTCTGATGAAAGACACATGGAGGAGGCCATCTTCAGTGCCAACATCATAGACCAGGTGGGACACTCGGGGCTTGAAGATCTGTTCAGCTACATACCTCCCTTGCATGTTTTTACAGTTGTAACAGTTCAGAGAATTGTTACAGATGTTCTTATACAGTAACATGACATGACATGAATAATATTGGTCAAGCAGAAGTGAATTTTACACTGAAGCAATTACAAATGCATTTAGAATTCTTTGGTGGGTAATATCCTAGGAGATCTATAGGGAATAGTTACACCGATATTCATCCTCTTATTCCGCAAATCTTTCTGCACCCGGGGCAGCATATTCCATACATGAAGCTGTGTTTATATGCAGAGACACGTAGCTAATAAATGTTTTTAGTAAGAGGCAAGGTGATGGATCACATTTGGCTAGCGTTGTTATCAAAATGATAGGTATAGAAATGAAGCTTCTTTTATATTGTCAGGTTTAACAGCAGCTTTGAGTAGCGTGTCCAGGCTGGCTGCTGGGTTTGCACGGAGGATCTCGGGGACGCGCTTGGGCTGGTGCTCCTGTGCAATGGCACTCCTGTGGTATCAGTCTGCCGATCCCTGAACAAGGCAAACTGGAGTTTCAAGATGGGATATAGTATCAGATAAAAAGCATATGAGATAGTTTGATGTGCAGCATGAATGGTGCTGCATTTATAAAAGCTTGCTGCAATATTGTTTATTGCTAACTATGAAGTAGAGCAAAGAAGAACAGTATCAGTTCACTTTATAGTCATATCACTAGAAAAACCGAGCTATCATTAGATACTTAATAGAACGTTATTATGGAATTAAATTTTAACATTTTTATTGCTTTAGAAGATTTATAGGCCATTAAATCCTCAAGCTTGGAAAGCCGAAAACAACTTTATTTAAATAAAAAAAGAAAACAAGTTTCTCACAAAGCAAAATAGTATAAATGAATGTGTTTATGCACATCATAAAGCCAGAAACCCTGTGTGGGCTTCTGAGAGCCAAGGATACATATAGCTTTTTAACATTTAAGCAATAATTCCAGTGAAGTTATGTTTTCAGCCAAAAAACATTAATCAGTGAAAGTCCCAGCTATTTCAGCAATCTACTTAAGAAGTCCCAGGATTTTCGCTGAAATTGCTGTATAATTCCGATTTGTGAAGCAGATTGATGGTTCCATTAGCTGGAGTGTTTGTTTACCAGGCTTGCAAGGTTTTAGTGCTCTTCAGCCTTCCCCAAAGCTAGTGAAGCTTCTCTTCCCCCTAGAAGAAATATATTTCTTTCAAACTCCTGTTTGTCTATTATAAGGCAGAGTTGCTTTCATTTTCATTAGCTTCCTTCTCATTTTATCTAGAGAACCGAGGATTTGTTTGCGCCTTGCTGCTGTCGGCTGTAACCCCAGTACGAGGCTGGGTGTCTTTCCAACCCCTCTTGCTTTGCAGCAGCCAGGGCTCAGCCCAGGCGCTTCGGAGAACAGGGGAGCTGGGAGAGAGAGGCCCTGGGTGCCTGCAAAAGCCCAGCCTGCTTGGAAGAAGCTCCATTATTAACTAAATAAAACAAATAATACCTTTTGGATGAAAACACTTCTTACTGTGTTTTTCCCCTGTTTTTTCTTTCTCCGCTGCTGCCCTCTCCAACAGGTAATGACGAGCTCCCAGCAGAACGTGAGCAGCTCGAGGAAGCGCCGGCAGGAAGACCTGCACCTGCAGAGCTGCGGGGCGCTGAGCGCGCCGGGCGCCGCCGCGCGCCGGCCCCGCGCCGAGGAGCGCGACCGGCCCCGCAGCTGCGCGGGGGTTTGCCGGGAGACCATCCTCTGAGAACAGCCCCAGGTACGTGATTCCAGCACAGAGGTTTGAGGAAGAAGCCAGGACTGGGAGAAATACAAGTAGTGGATGGCTTCAAAAGGAAGAAGTGTCTTCCTTTGGAATTCCATTTTTTTCCAAGCGCAGGAAGCGAACACCTGTTTTTCTGAATGTAAATTTCAGCCCTGCATTTTGCAGAATTTTACTGATTTATTAGTAAACTCGTAAGAAACGTTTTTCCAACCAGAAATGCATATATTTCTCTGTACTTACAGAAATGCTGCTGATGCTGCCTAGCATTTCTTGAAAATCATTGCAAAACCACTAAGAGACCTGTTGTACAACTTAAAAGTTGTATTTACTTAATGTACCTCAAAGTGTTTTAACTATGATCAGTGTTTTAATAAAAAGTATTTCTGGACTTTGTTTTTGGAACAGCTGATTTGGATACAAATGTAAAAGTTGTTTAGAAGCAGTGTCGGCTGTGCCAGGCTACCGGAGCTGTCCTATTGAAACTGCCTTCCCCTCTATAACGTGGTGCCCTTTACAATTACAGCAAAGGGTGCCACGTAGTTTATTTTTGCTTTGACCTGAATGCTTATAAGCCTATTAATGGAGTAGTCGATGCTATTGAAAAATCATGTTTAAAGGTTCTGCCAACTGTGACCAAAAGATGAATCAGGAAAAATAATCTTTGAAATTCTGCATTTCCAAAGTGAAGATTGTATAAATTTCTTACAAATGGTAACTGATAAAAAATTAGATGTATTTTTTTATCCAGCAGGGCCTTGATTTTTTATTTAAAAGAAGTGCTATTCCAATCCAATTAGTAATTTGGACAGTTATATTACTAAAATATGTCCTTGTGGTTCTGCTGCATTTGTGATTAATTTAAAATTGATCTTAGAAAATCAAAATCACTGACACTAGTTGGGTGACCAGCATAACAAGAGTCTACCAGCAATGTCTTCCAGTGCAAGTTTCATCTGCGAGGAAACTGGAAATGCCTTAAACACAAGGTTCTCCTAAAGAACCTTTCCGAGGATGGTGGTTTGTGAGTTTAATCCTTTCGCAGCAGCGCCTGTCAGTAGTGTTACACTTTCCTTCTAAGGCTTGGTTGTATAATGGTTTCATTTGTGTCATTCTGAGCTGGGCAGACATCCTGCGAAAAGGTCACAAAGGAATGTAGCTGAGGATGGGTAGCTCTAGTTTACAGAATCATCCATTTTAATGTTTTTTAAGCATTTATAGCATGCCTCCGTATTGATACGAAGTTACAGTGACATCCAGTGGCAACAAGGTAGGCTAATTACAAGCATCTATTCTGCAGATGGTAACAGACAACACACAAACTCTTGCTTCAGGAGAGTGGAATGAATTCCTTTTAAGAGTAGAAATCTGTGACCTTTGCAACTGCACTTAGATGAAGAATTAAGTGATATTTATTTGGATTTTTTTTTGGTTATCTAAAATTATACAACAAACAAAATAAGCGAGCTTTCTTTATTATCTCTGATTTATTAGTGACACTAAGTTAATTCTTTCCTAAGTTCAGTTGCATGCAACACACATTAGTCCTTGAAGTACAGTCATCCTAAAGCTTTTTAGTTGCTGCATGGTAAGGCTTCTTAAGTCACAGTGTATTTTCTTCAAGGCCTTGGCCAAAAAAAAAAAGAGAAAAAAAAAAGAAAGACAAAAAGTTACATCAATTAACATTTATCGCATATGGAATACAACTTTACTACTACTATTTTTTTTTTTAAATCTACACACATTCTAATACTGCTGATGGTGCTAGCTCATTTGTTAGAACAACTTACATTCAGAACACATTGCCTCAGGAATAAGGATGCTTTATAAAAGACAGTAACAGGTAAGCATGGCTTTCCCATTTTGGGTTAATATGAAAAAGGTAATATGCAAAAATCAAACCCAAAAAACCCAGCCCAACACATACATTACACAAACTGTGCAATAAGTTATCAGTGAAATAGGTCTGTTAAATCATAAAAATCACAAACATTAAAAATAAATATGTATCTAAATAAATATTTTGATTTTAATCTTGTGGCAATTATTCTTTATTTAGCATATGAAACACTTTTACATGTTTATGTTCACACCTTGCCAAACAGGTTACACTTGTCATAACAATACCAAGTACTACAGTGGTTTGCTTTACGTTAGAATCTAGAAATTTAACTGCACACATTCCTATCCACTGAAATACCATCTACTAGGCACCAACTTTAGAATTATACAATGCCATCAGTATTGTACCATTTTATGGGACTGGGATTTTTTTTTTTAACTTGAGGCAGCCCTAACTTTCTCAGATCACTTGTCTTGGCCATTTCCTGCAGTCTCATTCACCAGATATCCACATTCACCATGATATCAAACAGGACAGACATACATACACCACGCCACATAAAGGTTACAAATAAATATGTTTTGCGCTTTATGAGAAAAGAAGATGTTTAGAAGATGTTGCAAAATACTTAAATATTTTACAAGGATTTTATGTCAGTGAATATTGTCCTTGACCATTCTTCTCATCACTTTTTGGCAAAGAAATAAAAGGGAAGGAGAGAAAAGGCAGCGACACCTGTCTGTTCCTGGTTTCGGAGCCCTCAGGTCCAGCTTCCAAGCCTTTCATTCATACAAAATACAAAATTCTCTTCAACTGCGAAGGCTTCAGCTTTGATGGAATCGTTATTTTGTTGAGAGAGTCTCATGCTAGATGTACAGGGGTGTCTCTTGCCCAGTGAGAAGCCTGAACATGGCAGCTGGCATAGTCTTCATGTGAATCTGTCAATTGATTTACACAAAAATCAACAGAATTGTTACTAGTTCAGAATAATCCATATGCCCAGATCTGTGTGTCTCAGTGGTGCGTGTTACTCTCCTGGTTCCCAGCCGATGTGAGTGTTACCAAAGTTTCTGGTTAGAGGTTCTCTAGTTTGGAGAAGCTGTTTGTTTTGTTTTGTTTTGTTTTGAATGACATGGCTGACTGGATATTTAAGAATGTTAAAAGGTTATTTAAACACTTGCTATTGATTCTCCAACCACAACCCTTACAAAAAGAGGGCATACTGGAAATTCATACTGCTACTCCGTTACTAACTAAAATTAGATTTTCTGTTAATGACCCTGTGGGAGGGGCATTTAATACCTACTTTCTCCTAAGTGGAGTATAAAATTTTGAACACAAAAGTTGAACTTTACCCTCTATTATTTCAGTGCAGTCAGAATTTGATAAAGCAGGTTCTCTCCTGACCACTATATCCAAGTTCTTTTCACAAGGAGCATCGTGACAAGTATCAGAGGCATTTTACAGACCAGCAGGATTAAACCCATCAGGTAATGAGAGTTGTACCAAGAACATAGTAATAGCTGTAAAAACCTATGAGAATATTTCACAGCCAGGAATGTAAATGTTACAACCCCTGCCAAGCCAGCTGCTGCCTTGATAGCTTGGTCTCTTCATGCTGCAAAAGGAAGTTTTGTACTGACCTTGTATGTTTAGTGAGATGATGGGCAGCAAAGAGGTGTCTTAAGGCATGGAGGTGCTAGTGAAATCTATAGTTCCGTTCCTGCCTGCATGCTCATGCTCTGTGTTCTATTTCAAGTATCATTTTCCACAGGAAAAGGAGTTAACTCTGATATTGGCAAAGGAGCTAGTGGAAGATCCTGGCCAGTGTCAAGTTTGATACTGCCACTAAATTCAGTAGGGACCAGAGGATCTTGTTCATCAGTTGCTGGTTTCTCTAAAAGTACCAGAGGGAGATGTCTTAACTTATCCCCAAGGTAAGTGGGAAATGTTCAGTGAAAGTGAAAGGAGTAAAATACATGCCAATTTGAATTTCTCAGCTCTTTGAATATTAATTTCTTTCTATGTCAGAAGCTCTACTGATAAGAGACATTTTTATAGGTAAGATGCTTGAGTGATTTCTTCCCTTAATTGACAGCTTTAATTCAAGTAGCAACTTTGAGTTCAGAATCATGCCAGAAACTCTTGAAAATAAGTGTAAAAACACAGTGAATGTGCATCCAATTGTACAAAATATGTTTTGCTGATTCGTTGTTTATTGATGTGTTAGTTTTAATACTTCATTAAGATGCTAATTTTATTTCACCTAAAATATTTAGTATATCATAGAGAATATAGAATCATATAGAATCATAGAATCATAGAATGCTTAAGGTTGGAAGGGACCTCTAGAGATCATCTAGTCCAACCCCCTGCACACGCAGGGTCACCTAGAGCACATGGCACAGGACTGCATCCAAGCGGGTTTGGAAGATCTCCAGAGAAGGAGCCTCCACAACCTCTCCTGGCAGCCTGTTCCAGTGGATATATTCATTTAATAGTTTTAATTATATGATAAAGCATTTAATAGTTTTCTTACCTCTCCCACTGAGTTGGACAATGCTTGTACTATCTTCTCGTGAGCGGTTGCAACAACACTTTGTCCATTGATCTCAATAATCCGATGTCCTACTCTGACCCCTCCTCTCTCAGCTATCCCACCTCGCATCAAGCTGCAAATCTGCCAAGAGAAATCAAAGTTGGTTTCAGTTTAGAGATGTCATGTTGTAGCAGTTGCTAGAATTTAATAGATAAAAGATAATAGTAATGAGAGGCGAGACTTTAGTGACTCCAGAAGATAGGTTATAATAGGTAGGTTATAATATTGCAGATTATAAATTTAACCTTCATTTTTATGGACTGAAATCTTGTATGTACACTGACTGCCAGCCTGCTGCAAACTCAAAAGGAAAGACAAGGAAGTTACAGGGGAACTAAGCTAAGACTAGGGCAAGTTCCTTTTCCATATTAAACCGTTCACCTTGATCTTTATTTTTCTAGTTAATTCTTCTCCAATTGTACAATATTAAAAATTCTTCATAGAGCTGTGGCCAACTAGTAAGAATACTGATCTACAATAAACATAAAGCAGGGAAAAATGGAGCTGCTGGACTGTGATTTTGATGAGTATATTTCCTTTGAGACTGGGAGATTATTACTGCTGAGCTACCAGTAAGCACATGTGATAGAGCTTGCAGTGGGAATACATTTCTAGGCACGTCACATCTCTGAAACTACTGCATCACCTTCAAATAGCTGGTAGTACCACATCAGCACTGTCTGCAGCAAGGTATGGAGAAATATTACATCAGCCCATGTTACACTCCATATAGTTGAAGCTCATCCGAACAGATACAGGGATCTGAAGTTTTTAGGAAAACCCCTGTCCCTCTAAAGCCTCTGCTATTGACAGAAATGGTACTGGCTGGACAAAAGTCATGCAAGTTGCCAGGGAATGATCACTGGTTTGTAGTTTACCCTGTGGATACTGAAAACCCTGATTTACTGAAAAGATGTTAGTGAAAAGGAGACTAAATATATGGGGAAACAGTATGTATCCTGAAAGAGACCCATGTGGAGTAGCTGAATTAACATTTAAAGAGGCATTAAGAACAACTACCTTGAGTTAAGGTAGCGATGGGAATTTAAAATTGTATCTGAAACTTTTGTTCTTTGATTATCTGTTGCAGCTGGTGATGCACAAAAAGTTTGTATTAACTCTTCTAAAAGGCCATGATAGTTGATAGCATGTAAGTAGCCTGTGTCACATGCATTTTTCCAGTATCTGCTTCCTTGGGAACGAAAAAACAGGATCCAGTGATGGCTGCTGCTGCCGTTAACAGCCAAGCTGAAAGCTGGAATATTGGTTGACTTTTTTTTCTGTATGGGACTGGCAATTTTCTTATAAATTTATCCTCTGCAAATAACAGTGCTTGAAGAGTGGAATTCTTTTTACTGTCTTTCAAGGTTCAGGCTGTCTGAGGGAGGAGGGAAGAATATAAAGTTATTCTTTGTTTACAGAAAGCCACCGTCAGCCTCCTGAGAAAGGGTTTTGTGCTGCAGTGAGTCATGCCGCACCTGGCCTGTAATTAGTGGCTTCTGCTGTGGTTCACAAAGAGCTTCTGATGCAGTGTTATGGTTAGAGGCACTGTCAGGATCCTTCACAGAATTTCAACTTGGATTTCAGTCACGTGCAGGATACTGTTTTGCAGGTAGTCTACCTTCTAATCATCCGAATGACAAAATAAGCTGCATCATGTATTTTTGCCGACTCCCCTATAGACAGGTTCTTATTTAACTCCCCGTTAGAACAGCAATTGCTGCTCACTGTTGGGGAGTGTTTTCAGGATGCGCCCAAAGAAACCTTGTAAATTTTCCACAGTATAAATGAAAATAACCGGACTGCACAACCAGAGCAGACGTGCCCCGGCACCAAGCAGAGATACGGCACCATGCGCCACCTTTCATTCTGTGCCTCTCCAAATGCTTTTAACACCATCAGTGACTTTGGCCTTTCGAACAGTGTTAGGTGCAGGAAGCCATCTCTTACCTCCTTCAAGAAAGGAATCTCTCTCCAGGGTAGGGATTCAGCTTTCTTTTTGTGAACGTTAAGTGTTTTAATGAGTTACAGAGAGAAATGGAGCACAGGTGGCTCTGCCTGCAGATCACAAATGTCAAGATCTCCTGTACTTAAAGCAGACATTTATGTAGTCCCTGTATCGACAGGCTCCCGACGGAAAGCAGCCCTGAGACTCTGCTGTGAGCGGAGCGGGGAGCGCGGCAGCTTGGAGGGCAGGTTGAGGCTGAGCCGCCCCGCCAGGCAGACCCGTTCCAGAGAGCCAGGGGTGCAGCTGGCTGTACTTGCTGAGCATGGGAACAGCTATGGGATTATTAAATACAGCAGGACAAATCTGCAGCTCCCTGTAAGCAAGAGCCTATGCCCTATGTAATGGTAAAGCTATGGGATTATTAAATACAGCAGGACGAATCTGCAGCTTCCTGTAAGCAAGAGCCTATGCCCTACGTAATGGTAAAGGGAGAGAAAAAAAAAGGAAAAAGAAATGATGCAAGCTAAACCATCCAGGTTCATTTAAATCAGCTGTTACCTATCTTGCAAGTTGTTGGACAGCTGCAGTGTATCTGTGTATCTGGTGTGAAACTTCAGTAGTTTCTTAATTAGCCTTACTGCAGCTGTCTGTCATGTAGCAAAATGTTAAGGATAAAATGGTGCAAGGCAAATTAACTTCATTCTGAGTAAACACCTTAAATGTAACCTATTAAACTGAAGTTTCTCTTCCATCTCACTCCTGCTTTACTTACTATGTAGGTCCTTAAGTTCTGTGTAATTTTCCCCTAGAAAGTTTAAATAAAAGTAGAGACCAGGATGAAGGAATAAAATAGCCACCAGCTACTAAATTTTTTCTAGATTTGCTGTGTTTTTAGGTGGAGTTACGTAGAGTCCCTAGGCTAGGGATAGATACCCTTCTTGGAGGAAGCGTCATTTGCAAAGAGGTCTGAGGTCAAGACTGAAAAGTGATATCGGTCCTGCTGCTTTTCTTTCATATATATACACAATATTCAGATTTTTTTTCCATAATATTTTAAAGGTCCTTTTATAAATGTGCAACGTAACTACAGCAGTAGCTTTTAAGAGCCATGAAGAAAAGCTGTGTTCTTAGTGCAAGGGGAACTTCTGCAAATTTACCACTTTGTGCCTTACATTTTGCGTTTGTGCTGTTCCCTAACTAACACCTCCGAGAGCCGGGCAGCTGCAAGCTCCCCGAAGTGTCCCGCACCACCAGTGCGCTCTGACACGCAACTTTATCCTCCCCACTAATGAACTACACACCCTGCACCAAGCAAAGCAGGGGCTGCACAACCCAGGCTCTGTTGTTGTCCTGATGCCTGTGAAAATAATACATAGGTCAGAGTGTGCTCCTATATATGTGGGTTGTTTGCAGCTATTCACTGCTGTCACGGCTGTGTGTGATGGACAGGACAGGAAACAGCAGAAATGTCACCAGCGGAGGCAGCTAAGCAGTCCCAGCTGCTCACAGCATGAGAGAGGCCTCGCGAGAGGGGCGTTCAGTTACCCCCGTTCTGCCAGGTTACCTCTTCCCTGGGCTAACGCTGAGCCACCCAAAGATACTACTTCTGAATCCCATCATCACGTATAACAGCTGCCCTTTTTAAAATATCAAACTGTCAAACTACAAAGAGCTGCACTGTGAAGAGTCTTAAATGTCCAGGGGGGTTGCATCTGAGGAAGGATCTGTCTGTATTTGTAACTGTCAGTGTAAAAAAAAGATGAGTTTCTCTCTTTTTTCATTGGCTTTCACATTCAAGCACAGACTATTCATGAATGAAATGTATTAGAAGGTTTCCTTTTATGATTATTTATGAGGAATTTTTATGCTGAACTTGGTAAATTTTATGCTCTGTGTCATCTAAATGATACTAATTTAACCGAACAACTTCGGGTCCTCCCCAGGGGTGAATATGACCAGTAGATGGAGCAAAAACCCTGGGAAAGGAAAGCCACGGCCTGCAGAAGGATGTAGGAGATGCTTAGCTGGGACAAGGTAAAATAAATACCATCTCACAGGCTCTGTTACTGTGCTACCGTGTGAGGACGTGAGTTCCTCGCTGTCCACATTCCCTAGCCCACTTCTATCACACAGCACTGAGTGGGGCCTCCCAAACGCATGTTCTGCACTGGATTGTTCCGTACTTTTTACAGAGCGCATCTGCTCAGATGCGAGACCATGAATCCCCCCCAAACGTGACAAACACCTCACCCCTCTGCTTGGAAGGGCTATCAGCGTGGGGCAGGCGCCGCGCAGCGAGTGCAGCTGCCCAGAGGCTCGGAGCAGAGATCTTCACACCAACCGCTGCTGTGACCCCAGCGTCATCTTAACCGAGGAACGCTTCAAACGTAGGTACAATAATAACTTAGAGCTGAAAATCTGCTAATGAGCCATCTGTTGCCCAAAGCACATTAAGACCCATAATCCATATTAAAGCCCTTTATATTTATCTGCTGCTCTTCTAGGGATGGCAGACAGAGATCTAGCAGCTTCAATCTACAGCAAGTTTGACCAAACGGGCCCAGAGCCCACAGTTTTTTGTGATGTGGTTTCCTCCATAGGTAGCCTGATTATTATTTTTTTCCCTAGACTGGAGGAAGAGGAGATGGTGGTGGTCCTGTGCAACAGACAGCCCTTCATGCCAATACCAGCCTCAGAAAAGGCCAGGTGGCTGCTGGAGCTCGTGTTGACCAGAGGGTTTGCTTTGGAAAAGTACCACAGAATGGCTTGGGAAAGAGGAGCCAGGAGTGGAAGACCCTGAGCTGCTCTGGGTAAGTGTTAGTTCTCATATTCACTCTCCTTCTTGGTGATGTTGTTAGTGGGGAAAGGCAGCACATAGAAAAGGGATCCCCTAGAAAGGACACAGCCTATATAATTAGTGGAATAAAGGTTTCGCTTTAGCCATAGGAGGACAATTGCTCTCCCTTGCCTGCTTTCCAGGATGTTGCCTGTTATTGTATAAGCCAAATTAATTCTGCAAAGAGGAAGAAAAATTAGAATCTTAGTGAGTATGTGCAGATATTTAAAAATAACGAAATAGAATCAGAGCTAAGATGTAGAAATTGCAGAAATTTCAGTAATACTGCTTTTCCTTGCAGCCCTGACACACTGGTAGATTGTTGTTAGTTGACAGTTATACATTTATTAGAATTGATCCACTGCGCTAGACAATCTGTGTTATAATTTTTTTAGGAGAAGTCTCTCAAGAATGGCAGTATGTGTTCTTCTAGTGCTCTCCACTTGCTATTCAGTGCACAGAGATTTGATTACAAGGTTTTGATTCATGAACAGATCGGAGTATGAAAATTGAGGTCGTAGATTGTGGGTATACATCAACATAAACTGATCTGGTAGCAAGTAAAGCATAGCACGAAGGTTGTAGCTACTAGAAACAATTGACAGACACTCTCCACAAGCAAACAAAAAACCATCACAGTTTATGATGGCTTTCAGCAAACAGGTTTATATTTATATGTGAGCATACAAATGTATGCATGTAACGTTAGGGGCTCTGTTTTCTGCAGGCCCTGCAAGCTTACACTCCTAACTAGCAAGAACAAGCTCCCAAAATGCACAGAGGACAATGTGCAAAGAACTTTCAGTGTGATGAAAAAAAAAGAAAGAAAGAAAGAAAGAAAGAAGGAATCTGCCATGACCAAGCACAGAAACTTACAATTCCATTCTGTACGCTGAAGCCCAGTTGGTATTTTAAGTCCGGCCGTTTTATGAGGACAGTAGTGACTGGAGGACAGCTAACAATGTTCAGTTTCACTTGTGTCTGATTCTTGAGACCCTGTAAAATATCCTAGGAGTTAATATTTCTAAAAGAGATCTTTACTTGCTCTTTAGCTAGTGGAAGAAAGGCCAAACCTTGACTACTGCTCGCTCTCCACCAAAATCTGGCTAATTAGTCTCCTGTTGCTGCTTTTTGTAAATATGAATGGACACTAGTCTCAGTGACTGACGATAATGTGTCCTAAAGCACCCTGAGCATCATTAGCTCACTTCATCTGGAGACTGCAGCTTAGCTGCCTCTCACTCGTCCCCCATCACTTTTGCCTATGTGGAACCCAAGAGAAGCAGCAGATTTTAATCCTCACGTTTTAATTTTCAGGATGTGGGGAAGCCTAAAATGTGGAGGATAGCTTGATGCTGGAGGTAACTGGATTTGGGCAGCTTTTTGAGTCCTCACCTCATTTATAGCCTAGTAACCATGATGTAGCCAAATTTTCTAGCTCTAAACTTTATCATCATCCTTGAACCCGCATTTCTAATGCTACTTTCTGTTAATGAGAGTTTAGGTGATTTTCATAGTGATATGAAAATCCTATCCATTGGAAATTTCCATGGTTACTTGACAAAATATCATCTCTCTGCTGATTTACAGTCTACATTATAAGTACATCGTAAATTTGGGTACCTTTATGATCCCTTGGCATGTTGCAAGAGGAAGCCCAACTAAACTGGTCCCATTAATGGACATAATTTGGTCTCCAATGCTTAGTTTTCCTGAACGGGCTGCGGGCCCTCCATTCATCATGTTAGCCAGGATGACAGTGGGTAGAATGGATCCCCATCCAGACTCCACAATCACTACCCCAAGAATTTCTCCCTTCTGTTTTTCTAGCTGGAGCTGCAAACAAACAAGCAAGCAAAGTCAGTGCAAGGATAAAAACCCTGCGAACAAAAAGATGATTATAAAAGCTTATAAAGATGATTTTAGTAGCAGTGCACTCATAAACTGATGTGTCTGGGATGTCAAAAACATCTTTAAAATGCAATTATGTTTCCACAAGAACTACATTTCTCTATGGAAAAAAAAGAAAAAAAAATGGATATGAAATTCAGGTACTAATTTACCTCTTTGCAGTTTTCTGAATTGGAAAAGTGTATGAGATCATCATTGTACATCTCCTGGGTATTGATGATGTCGCTGTACTCCTTCTGACTGAGATCCTCTGGGTTAATTCCATTGGCTCTTAGAAACTCTTGGTAGGCCACACTGAAAGCCTGACCGATGGACTGAGCTATCAGCTGTGCCTGGAATGGGAAACA